TTTACCTATTAGCCAAACTAAAAACCAGGAGTTACTACTGACATGCCTAATCTCTTTCACTGTCATATCCAGTGTGCCAATCTTCTGACTCTAACTTCTAAATATTTCTCTCATGTTTGACTTGTGTACATCTTCACTGACACTCAAGTTATCACCAGAGTACAAGTATGTGTAGAACCACCATCTTGCACCCACTCCATGCCTCTACTGCATTTCTACATTGCAAACATAGTGCTGTTTGAAGAGTCATTCATTCATTCTTAACCCTTTAATACATGCAAGGCACTTCCTAGATGTTGCTGATACAAATGTGACTAAAACTGCCTGTTCCCAATCTTCTAGATTCTACAGATTGTATGATTGGGGAACTTAATGTAATTGAGATTGTGTTTGTATAAATAAAGCAGACCGTTTTTCTTTTGATCTCACAACTCAATTAACTTAAAAGACTTTTTCTCCCTCTGTGTGTGTACATTATATGTATGTGTGCTCATTTGTATGCCAGTATACATGAATATGTATGTGTATACAAGCATACTGAAAGTCAGTGTCTGCTATCTTCCTCAAGTACTCTCTCTACTTTGTTTTTTGAGGCAGAGTCTCTAGAACAGGGAACTCACTAATTCAGCCAGATGAGCAGACCAGTGAACTCCAGGGATCTACTGTCCTGGACCCTCACCCAGAACTGGGATCGTAGATATTACCACTGTATCCAGCTTTTACACAAGTGCTGGGCAGCCTGAAGTCCCTGTGCTTGAGCAGCAGGCACTTCACCCACTAAGCCATATTTTAGCTCCAACAAGAAGACTTTTATGGCATTGAAAAATATGAGGAGTTCTCTTCACCAAAAGCAAGCAATCATTTCTACAACGGGAGACATCAATTTGATATCCTCCAACTCAATTGACACTGTCTACTTAAAGTTGTCCCCAGTGTGCCATCTGTGCCCCCCAGGCACAAACAGTTTAGATGCCAATTGCTAGCTACAGATTGTATCTTTCTCCTATGCTTCTCACCTATTGGCACAATTTAGTATTCCCACAACCCCCTCAAATTCAACTAATTCATTTGAATGGCTCCTAGAATTTAAGGGTGCACACTGTGTTTATAACGGATGTTAGAAGGTGCATAGACTGATGTATAGGAGAAGGGGCATGGAGCTCCCATGCTCTCTCTGGCATTTGTCCTTTGGGGATTGTAATGCTAACAGACTAGATGATGGAGGCTGTTATAGCCGGTCTCCCTGTTCAGTCTTCTTGATCTTATGAGACAGGTCATTTTCTAAAATAAGGGTAATATCTGCCATTTTTTATCTAGCATCTACTATCAGAAAAAGTAGGTCAGAGGAAAAACAGAAGATTTGAACTTCTGTGACATGCCCTGAGGCAGGAATTAGGAGCTAGAAACTGTAGAAACTAAATAGTTGTCTATAATAATATCACAGGGATTGGCAAAATTTCTTTGGGGAAATAATTTTTCACCAGAGTCAGAATCTACAAGTGAAGACATAAGAGAGAAGAGTATTTTAGGCAGAGTACTGCATGCAAAGGACTAGAATAAGAAAGGGACTGGGTATGAGATCAAAGCACATGGTTGCATCCAGATGTGACCTTACTCAAGGGGTCCAGTAAGCTCTCACCCAGTCTGCCAGAGTGGGCGAGCATGTGAGTCATACCTGAAGAAACACCACTGCCAAATAGGCAGCCAAGACTTATGTGATGCCATCAGAAGATTCTGAGGCAAAAAGTAATGTAACCAGACTGTACAGTCCTTGGCACAGGGACTTTTATCTCTTGTTCATTTAGATTTGTCTCATGCACAATATTTGCTGAAAGAATGGGTGTCTGTTTGGATGATATAGTGTTGTATTATATTGTAACATGTGCTTAATGACTCCTTTCACAAGGCTCAATCCTGAAAAACTGACTATATTTTTATATTAATATAATTATATATGTTTTTATATATTCCTAAATATATAACTCCAACCGGCTCAGTCCATATGTTTGTATGTGTGTTTTCAGGGCTGATCATATGGGCCTGGATAGCCGATTTGTATTCTCTTCTCTAGGGAAGAGCATTTCTCTCCCTCAATGCTCCATAGTTGCCTGTACTCTTTGCCTAAGGTTGAGGCCTTATAACCTTTGCGCCACTCAGACTTTTACCTTGAACCACTTAGGCGGGAACAATGACTGGCATCATGCTCAGAGAATCAGGTGATGAATTCCAATCTCAGCCATAGTGCAGCTGAGTTGTCTTTGCAGTGACCTTGTAGAGACTATAGTGGCTGCAGATACATGTGCACATGTGTGTTGAACATGTAACTGTGGGGCTCTTAGCTTATGAAATGTAATTGATTCTTAGGAAAGGATAAAATCCCTTATAGGTGGGGGTGGGGGGTACGGGGGAGGGAAAGGACTAGGGAGAAAGAGAGAATAAGAAGCAGAAAAGACAACCAAAGAGAAAATTCTGGGACAATATAATAAGCATTTTTAACATGATGACTATAAAGGAAATAACAGTAATTTACAAAGAAAAGACTTTTCATAATACCATCCAAATACTGTCACATGAAGTGGATATCCATCTGTGCATGAGGCAAATTCTGTTCTTGGGCTTCTTAAGTAGAATGTTACTAAGTCAACAATGGAAACTAGTTAAGCCCCACACAGTAGAAAGTGTATCTTCTAAGTTTTTAAGTCTCATGTGAATTCTGTATTCCTTGGGTTCTATTGGTAACTAATCATGGTTACCTCTTAGTATTCTGAATATAAGAAATATTTTGTGATTTTTAAATTTTGATCTCTTTGAGACACTGAAGCCCAAGCTGCCCTTGAACTTACAACAGTCCTGCCACAGTCTTCCAAGTACTGTGCTTAGCAATATAAGCCACCATGCTTGGCTAAAAAACACCTTAAGAACTGTGTGTTTAAAATATGGCAGAGCTAGGGACATAGTACAGGTGTACTACATCAATTGCTGTAGTGATGCACACCTGCATTCCAAAGCTTGGGAGGTAGAGGCAGGAGGATGAAAAATTATAAGACCATCCTCAGGGTCAAGCCTAGCCTGTGATACACATGAGACTTTGCATGAAGAAATCACATATAAGGGCCCTCCAGAGAGATTTCTACAATCTTGTGTGGATACAAGCACTGGCTGCTCTTGCAGAGAACAGGGTTTGGTTCCAAGCACCCATGTTGTGACTCACAACTGTCTATTACTCCAGTTTCAGGGTATTGGAACCCCTCAGTCTCCTCAGATACCAGGTGCACATGTGGTGTACACACATACAGTCAGGCAAACGCAAATGAAAACAAACATTTTATTTATTATATACGCATGCATTTGAAATCATTTTGTTCATAGCTGATATGTTTACAGGAGATATGTCTAGCCTGCCTGATTGCTTGGCCAGTTGACCTTTGGCGTCAAAGGCACAAATGTAACCAGTTGGAGTATACTCTATGTGGATATGTTAGTTTATACAATTCATATGGATCATTTATCTATGTGGAACTGGCCCCTGACTGATAACACGCTTGCTTTTGAACACACCAGTTTCCTATAAACCGTTGAGAATCCCCAAGCTTCACTGGTTGCCATAAAACTATTCAGGTATTTTGATTAGCTCAGTGAAAAAAAAACTGTAGTCCTGCAGTTTAAAATTAAATTTATTTATTTGGCAAAAGAAGAAAATGGGACTAAAATTTAAAGCATCAGGCAAAGTTGTCGTTTAAAGGTCTCCAGCCGTTATTTCTCTTTTTCCATGTGTTCCCAGGACTGATAGAAGAGTGGTAGTTCCAGCAACATTTCCAGACAAGACAAACTTTATCAAGTGCTTTTTCTTACAACCAAACTATAACAAAGTCATCTCATAGATTAAAAAGCTGGCTTGCACTTTGTGTTTTGATGTTGCTATTCATTTTCCTTTAGAGCAAGCCATTTCAAACTTCCACATACATAAACAAATGAGTTATTTGATAAGCAGCCCTAATCTTTTCAAACTTTCACTATTTTATTAGTCAGTGTTTTAGTTAAGGTTAAAGGGAGTTTGTGGTTTCTGAGATGAGAAATTCAGCCCTCTTGTAAAACTAAAGGATAAATGAATAAAATGAACACTTAAATTGCCCGTTTTCAGACTCAGTTTCTGTGTCTAAATTGTATGTAAAGGCTTTACTGACATTCTCACTATTTTGTAGTTACACCATATCAGCAATAACGCCCGTCTACTACAAAAGAAAAGAGGAATAATGTTGGAGCCTCTGCTAGAGATTCTGACGAGTCTGGCTTTAAAGTACACTGCATTCCATTTTCCTTCAAGGGCCAGAAGATGTGGGAAAAACACTATTCCTTTCTAGTGGCTGAATAATATACAAATGTCCTTTATGCTTTTCTTGGAACTCCAGGCATCAGAGGCTGTCTAACAGATATGTATACTTCCAGTTATTCATTCAGTTGAGCAGAAATAAGTTCCAAGATCTTTAACTAATGGGGATGATAATTAGTGATAATTCACTGATCGGCTTTTCTGTAATCAATAATATATACTTTTCTTTAGCAAAGGAGTCATTTTTTTTAAGCTGTTGGTCTAAACAGTTGCAGAAAAGACAAGGCTGTGTGTCTCTGCTGGCTGAAAGAGGGACTTACATTATGTCTGCCTCTAAAATAATCAGTGCCCTAGATCTCTCCTGACCCTTACTTGCTCCTAGTTGGCCCCACACCTTGATCAACAACCCTTCCCTCAAGAGTTGGGTGTGCTGAATTCACTAGAGAGAGCCAAGAAACTGTCCCAGAAACTGGCTGCCTCCAGGGACTTCAGCTCCTGAAACTTGGAATGCCAGATTCTGATACTGGCAGCAGGGTTATGATCTGGGCCAAACAAGCCCACAGGAGAGCAGGTTTGGATCGGTTATGCATGCTTGGTCTTCCTGTTTTATAGATGTCTTGCGAGGTGTTACATCTCTGCTGAATTGTACCTCTCTCTGTGATTCTCACAGGTTCAAAGAACAAATTTTGTGCACATTGAGCCAAGTTTTGAAAGCTCCAGGAAGAAGAGGAAGGTCAGCGAACCAGTGACAGTCTTCATTCCTAACAGAAAATGAAACTTAGGTGCCTTTGCTGTGCCTATTTTTCAAAAATGTGTGAAATGTAACAGGAGAGTCACAAAATTTTTTTCCTAAAGCTTTTGCTCAAGTTTTTACTCAGTTTGTGAAGTGGCTAAGCTATTGAGCAAGACATAGATTCAAGAAGGAAACAGGATCACCAGAGCTGCCTTGGGATGGGATTACCTCACGGCTGAGTTAGAGATGAGACACGCTTTGTGTTTGCACAAAAACCACAGCAGTTATTTTGGAAAGAAATAAGCTGCTGTTCTTAAAGAAAAGGGTTTTTCTTTACATAATTAAATTCTCCAGGTATCTCTGTGAAATATTCTGACTTGTTATAACTTGTGTGTTGGAATTCTTGTATAGCTTTATTAAAACTCTCACAGAGCAGCATAGGATGTGTGTGGAGGTGCTTAGCCAGGTGTGACCTATATGTTGACTTCAGTCACAAAGTTGATCAGCAGCATGTGGATCCAGATGTGGATCCCTGTAAAGTTTGTCAGCTCTGGCCCTGGACCCTGGATTGTTTGCCAATCTCAAACAGCCGTCATGCAGTTCAGAAGCCTGGTTCCTCTGTAAGACCTGTGTTGAGTATTTCCATCCCAAAAATACTTGAGTTTATCAGTCTGTAACTTGCAGGTGATGCTATTTGTCCCCCTTCATGTTCTGGAAGAATTTTGATAAACAATGATAATGTGATATGAATAATAAATGACTTAAGGGATTGTTTTATGATTTATGTAACATGGAATTTAGTAATTGAACTTAAATGGATGGCATAGATAGTTAGATATTAAATATGTGTGCAGTGTGTGTGTGTTTCACATGCATGTGTGATAATCAGAGGACAACTTGTTGAAGTTGGTTCTCCCCTTCCATTATGTGGGTTCTGGGGATTGAACTTAGGTCTTCAGGCTTGGCAGCAAGCCTCCTTATCCATTCACTGGGCCTGCAAGATATTTTTTACTCATTGAATTTTGCACTTTGTAGGGTTTTTTTTCCACTTAAATTAGTGTTTCTCCAGTGTAAGGTTAATGAGGCTCTCAGCACCTGGAGTGCCCATCACACATTATGTCTTAAGTGGAACTGATCAAACTGTCGGGGCCGAGACCTGGGGAACAGTCTCATTCTGCCACAGAAGTTGAGATTCTGTGGCTTTGACAGAAGAGACTCTCTGGGCCAGGTGTCCCTTAGTCTGCAGGAGGAGTGTGTGTTACATAGCAGAGGAAAGTCAAGGTAGCCTGCCTAGTGTTGCCCTTTGCTGGACGCTCCTCTGTTTCTGAGGACCTAGGGCTGAGTATCAACTGAAGCACTAAGGAAGGACTGTGGGAGGAAGGGGGTTGCATTTTCCCTGCCTGCATATTAAAGTGGATTCATGTAAGCCTGCTCTTCCACTAAAAGGAGCAGGTGGGGAAAGGTAATTGGTCTTATTAGATCCTTGATGGAAGTGTAGCCTGAGTCACCATAATTTTTTTAAGAGAGTCACATAAAGGGATTTGATGTCTAGTAGAAGGATTAGGTTTATTCTGTGTCTCTCCAGAGGGCAGATCTGAAAGTATCAAGAGGTCTGAGCTCCACAGGCTGTCAGGATTTTGTGTTGGGCTGTCTTATAAAGTGGTGAGAGTCACCGTAAGCTGTGAACACAGGGAATGTCACTACATCTCTAAGGGTCTTTGATTTACATAGTGAGTAGCCTGTATTTCAGAAGGAACCATTTTGTTTAAAGGGGAATTTAGCTCTCAATCTATATTTACATTTATCAGAAACTTAGCCTAAAATTGCCAGTGATCCTTAGAGTTTAGAACCTAAATTTATCTAGAAAGTGTAGTGATCTGACTCTATCTTTTAATATCCCCTTTCTCAACTAAACAGCTTTATCAGTGCCATTGGGTATAGCGTGTTTCTGATATGGTGAGTGCGTGAGATAGGAGAAAAGGCTGGACACATGCCCTTGGTAGGCATGCAGGAGGAGAGATCTGCTATCAAGAGCTGAGAAACATGAAAGTATGAAACAGCTGGTTTTACACAGCTCATACACGAAACTAGTTATGAAGGACAGAGACCATCCATTTCTATTCAGCGGAAGATTTTATCTGAGGAGAGAAATTTTTTAGTCTTCCATTTCTGTCCCTTGCTGTCGAAAGATGAATGAAAACAACTGCATCAAAAATGTAGAGAAAGAGAGAAAGAGGAGGAGAAGAAAAGAGGGGAAGAGAGAGATGGTGAAGGAAGAGGAGATAGGAGGAAACAGCCCCTAGGCTGGGCACCTGCAGTGTGCTAGGCTGGCCCTTCGCTCACCCTGACTGTGTCTGCCTCCTCAGCAGAGTTACAGAGATTAGAGGATGATAGCTTGGAAACTGGGGCATTGTTAAATTATGGGGAAGTTTGACTTTGGCTGAGTGGTTTTTCTCTCTTTACAGAAATTAGTCTAGCTAAAAAGAAATAGGTTGGGCTCAGGGTTGCCCCCAGCCTTTGAAGCCAGGCACCGGAAACCACACCTCCGTTTCCCCCCCTGCAGGTCCCTCCTGTGTCTAGGTTCTTCACTCTCCAGCTCACATCTGCCAGAAAGAGGCTGGAAATGGTCTCAGTGTCAAAGCTGCTCTGAGATAAGCTCAGACTTCTGTGGTTTCTAAAATTCTAGTAAAGTCGAAGCTCATCTTGAGTGTAACGAGCTATTGATTTATGGTTTCAAAACCAGCAGTCTGAGGTCTTCAGCGACTTCCGCAGATTCTTTTTTTTGTATTTTTGTTTTATTTTGTTTTCTCTGTGCCATGGAAGTCACTCTGTAGACCAGGCTGGCCTTAAACTCAGAGAGATTCATTTGCCTCTGCCTCCCAAGTGCTGGGGTAAAAGGTGTGCGCCACCACTGCCACCATCACCGGCTTTCACGATTCTTATAGTAAAAACAATGCTCAGGTATAATGAATGTCATTTAAAGGAAGCCCCATGTGATAGTCTAGACTCTACATATATGAGAAAATACCTAAGTTATACTCTTTGGAAAGTATTAGTCTGTTTCTGTGATAATGTTTTAACTGTGATTTGTGTATTGAAGTCCTTGCTGAGACATAATATGCAATTTTATTAGTGACACCCAGAAAACAAGGGTGTCACTGGAGACATTGGATTTTTTTGTTTGTCCAAAATTTATTTATTTATTTACTTACTTACTTATTTGGTTATACAATGGTAAAGTTAAATTTCTATCCAGAAGTAGTGAGACTTGGGGAGGAGCTAAAGAGCAAACCTGTTCATACCTACCTGATCGGACAACATCTCTGCAGGTAGGGTTTTGCCTTATAGAAGCCTCAAAGGTGCTAATATCTGTGTTGTTTGTTTGCTTTGTTTTATTTGCTTTTTAGGTTTGGGGTTTTGGAGTTTTTTTGTTTGTTTGTTTTGTTTTGTTTTGTTTTGTTTTACATGGGGTCTCTTTAAATAGACCTGGCTGTCCTAGAACTCAGTATGTAGACCAGACCTACCTAGAACCCTAGAATCTGCCTGTCTCTACCTCCAGAGTGCTGGAGTTAAAGGCATGTGCCAGGTGGAGAGTCCTTCTTGTAGGACATGGTGGCTTACAGGTACCCCTGGCTCACTGTGTGCAGTCAGGGAAATTGCCCTGGTACTCAAGCAGGGATTACGTGGAAGACCTTCACAAAAGGCAGCCCTGGGAAAACTTGGCCAGCAGTTCTGAAAATAGGCTGACCATTCAGGATTAGGATTTTTCTGTTATAAATCCAGGATGATATCCTTGAACTTTCAGTGAAGTCTCACTCAGTGTTATAGACTGATCTTACTGGTCCCTGAGGTTCACCATACAAGTATTTCTCTCCAAGTGGAGAGGCAAGCTGAATGACAGCCTCATCAACATCTGGGAGGCACTGAAGTACAGATGCATTCTTTGAGGGTCTCAGATACTTCAGGACAGAAATCTGGTGTAAAAATGGCTTTGAAAGGTTGTTATCTGGTTCGTCAGCACTTCCAAAGGCAGTAATGCTCAGTGCTAGTGCTCAGTTCCATTAAGATATTTACTAACTTGCTGCAGGATGAACAAACAAAGTTAGTTTTTTTGTCTTCCTTTTAGCAAGCAGTCAAGACAAGGCTTGGGCTTCCCAGGCCTGATAGTACACACCTGGGTTTCAAACTGCCCAGTAAGCATAACGCCAGGGCTCCAGAGATGCTCGTCAGATTTGTGTGTGTGTGTGTGTGTGTGTGTGTGTGTGTGTGTGTGTGTGTGTGTAATTCAGGCACTCGGGAGTCTGAGGCTGGAGGACTGTGACTCCATCTCAAACACACACGCACACACACGCACATGCACACATATACACACAGAGAAAGGGGGAAGGGACAGAGGGAGGAAGAAGAAAAAGAAGCAAGAAAGGAAGGATAAAGAAAGAAAAAGAAAACACATACCTCAGATACTGAATTCAAACCTGACGAGTTTCTAAATAAGTTATTTTCCCTCTCTTACCCTCAGTTTACTTGATCTAATGAAATATAAATAGTGAAACTTGGTTCCTAGCTCCTATGAGCATGGAGCAAGAAAATCAGCAAACTGCCCAGTAAGCATATAGCCAGGGCTCCAGAGACGCTCATCGTGTGTGTGTGTGTGTGTGTGTGTGTGTGTGTACAAGCTTGAGCATGACAGAGTCTTGAGCATCCTCAGTCTTCTCTCCATCTTATGATATCCATCTCTGAGACAGGATCTCTCACATACTGGAGCTTGCAGATTCAGCTAAGCTGGCTGCCAACATCCAGGAATCTGCCTGGCCACCTCCCCCATTCTAGGATTACAAGAAATGACCACCTTGGCTTTTCACATGGATGCTGGAAATCCAGACTCAGGTCCTCATCCTTGTACAGCAAACACGTTGTCATTAAGCTGTCTTCCCAACCCCTCAAGTTACTATTTTATGCTCCTAGCATCTTGCTGGTCATCAAGAGCTGAAGATTTCCTCTTCCTTTATTTTCCCTACTTTATCTTTTCCAACCCTGGCGTT